GGCCTTAACAGTGAGGCCTTATGACAACTCAGGGCTGAGCTTGTCCACGTTACTGCTAACAACTGACAGGGGAACTCATCACCTCGTCTCACTTCTGTGATGACAAGGTTCAGTGAGTGGGGAGGGTGGAGTGGGGGAGTCACCTGTCCCTGTCCTCACACTAGGCCATTTGCCCCTCCCTTCCCGCTCCATCTCCTCTCAGTACCTGTCACTCTAAAAGACTCTACCTGGATGCCAATTATGATTAAGCGGCTGAGAATCACAGGGAGGATCCAGGTGATGGGTCTGAGGGCCGTGGCCCCGGACTGGGCCGTGACTTGCTGCGAGCCTGGCGGGGCTGAAATGGAAACACAAGAGGGTTTCAGACCCAAATCTTGTTTCAGTCTTAAATCGGAAGAGATACCCCCTCTGCTCCTCCTGCCCCAGATGATCCCACACTGCAGATGCTTTCTGTCACTCTACATTGTGGCAGCTGCTGTGACAGGTTCTGGAGTGGGAACCGAGGAAAGACTCAGGACCTGTCCCGAAGGACCTCGCACAGCTAAAGGGGGAAGCACGGGTTCCAACATAACTGGTCACTCCTGCTGTGGCAGAAGAGGTGGTCACGGAGCACGAGGGTGGTGACAGTTGACCCCCTCTCTGGAGCTAACAGTGCACGTGGCCAGGAATGATCCCCGGCCAGAGACAAGATGAGATGAGAAGATCAATGATTCTCAGAAAAGGGAAGAGCGAGAAGGAATCTCTGGAATCAGACTGACACCCTCATGTTTGGGGCCAAGAGGGAATCCAAGAAATCCCAGAAAACTAAAGGACATGTAGCAAGGAAGAGATTTCAGGAGATGAGAAGGGAAAGGAAGGATGCTAGAACATATCTGTGGCCATTACTCTCCCCAAAAGAAGTTCACCATGGATGGATCACCTTCTCTGGCTCTGTTTCTCTCTCTCTCTCTCTCTCTCTCTCTCTCTCTCACACACACACACACACACACACACACACACGCACACTACAGTGGAGAAGGTAGGCCCGATTTCAAGAGAACAACTTCATCCAGTCTTCTGAGTTACCTGTTGTCTCCCACAGTTCATCCCAGTGCATCAATATTCGCTCAAGCCACTTGTTACAATCTCCAACTGAGATCTTCATGAGGGAATTGGTCAAATCTCTGTCACTCTCCCATGAGGCCTTTATCTGTCGGCCTCTAGGACGAAGTGTCCAATTTCCACTCTCTGAGTTAAAGAAGTAGGATATCTGTTCATTGATGTCAAACTCCCAGGATCCGCTGGTGCGTCCGTTGTCCCCACGCACACACACCAGCCTGCCCTGCAGGGAGAGAGAATCTGTCCCCCACCCCCACCATGGGCATGAGGTCAGCCTCTGGTCTTGACCGATCCCTTGTCCCACCCGCTGTCCACTCCTCAGCTCCCCTTCACCCTTCTTGGTCCTGTTCGGTCCCTCTTGACTGCCCTGGCTGCTGGGCCACGTGTGTGGGACCCATGTCTAAGTTGTACATGAACACAATAGGTCCCTGGCCCTACAAACTGTTCTACTTCTGCCCTGGGCCTTTACGACTTACCACTGGGTATAAGATCCGCTGCTTTCCAGTCAAGTAGTTTCTTCTTGAGCTCTTCTGCCAGGTCTTTCAGAGTTTCGGTCTGTCTCTCCCAAAACACTATGTCATTCACATTCCTCCCCAGAGGACCAAAGACTTCGACCTTCTTGTTCCCACAGGCGTAATACAGAAACCTGTTTCCATTGACCTTGCCTCGAATCTCACACCATGGTTGTCCAGGATTGGGCTTTGGTGTGATGGGGAATTCAAAGGCAGGAGAAAGAGCATCTGCAAATGAAAACGTAAGTTAGGGTTGGGGTTGGAAGAACAGACCCAGAGGCGTCCCTCTCCCACCCATGTGACAGTCATTGTATCTCTGCAGGGCTGGCCTAGCAGAGCAAAGGCGGCCCCTGCACAGCCCCTCCCCCCTAACAATTGAAGGCTGGCGCACTTCCCTTCTTGGAAAAGGACCAAGGATCGGGATTCCTCTGCCTGACCAGAAACCATACAGCCAGGGACATGTCCCCTGTGTCTACCAGGCTGATATCCAGCGTCACTCAGTCTTTAATCAATTCAGGCACGTGCTACGCTGGCCATGGGAAGAAGACGTCTACATGCCGGCTGATGGTCAGGATCTATCCCAGTGTCTCGAAGAAGATGAGGGGCGCCAGGGTGGCTCAGTCAGCGGAGCGTCCGACTTCAGCTCGCGTCATGATCTCACGGCTCGTGAGTTCGAGCCCCGCGTCGGGCTCTGTGCTGACAGCCCAGAGCCTGGAGCCTGCTTCGGATTCTGTGTCTCCCTCTCTCTGCCCCTCCTCCACTCATGCTCTCTCTCTCTCTCTCTCTCTCTCTCTCTCTCTCTCAAAAATAAACAAACATTAAACATTAAATTATTAAAGAAAATTATTATTAAATAAAATTATTGTAAAATTAAATTATTAAATAAAAACAAACATTAAAAAAATGTTTTTAATAAGATGAGAGACCGTGAGGGGGCCTACTCCTGAGGAGCTGAGTCAGGGCGGGACAGGGTGAGGATAGAATCCAAAGTCAGAGAAGAGAGATTTGCAATCCTGGGTCCCAGCATTTAGCACAGGCCTGGTCATGGTGATCATCTACCATTAGGATGGGCCTTGGAGGCTTGGAAAAAAGGATGATCCACACGGCACAGACTAGAATATCAGGAATTCCATGACAGATAGTGGTAAGGGATTAAAAAGGCCCGGAGAAGTGCATATGACAGAACAAATGTAGTAAGAAATGCCAAAACAAAACCAAAAATATGCCCATCAACTATGCTCACGGAGCGGTCTGGAGGACTCTCAATGAAACTCATAAAAAATGCATGGTCCCACTGAGAAGGAGAACTACAGAGCCATTTCCCCGATGAACATGGATGCAAAAATTCTCAACAAGTTACTAGCCAACCCATGCCAACAATCCATTAAAAGAAGTACTCACCACGATCAAGTGGAATTTATTCCTGGGATGCAAGGCTGCTTCAATATCCACAAATCAATCAACATGATGCCTCACATTAATAAAAGAAAGAACAAGAACACGATCCTCTCAATAGATACAGAAAAAGCATTTGACAAGATACAGTATCCTTCTTGATGAAAACCCCCAAGAAAGGATGGATAGAAGGAACATACCCCAAGATCACAAAGGCCAGGTAGGAAACACCCACCGCTGATATCATCCTCAAGGGGGAAAAATAGAACTTTCCCCTAAGGTCAGGAACATGACAGGGATGCCCGCTGTCACCACCGTTGTTCAACATAGCGTTGGAAGTCCTAGCCTCAACAATCAGACAACAAAAAGAAATAA